TACTTGTTCACTCAGAAAGAATTGAATATGAGGCAGAGAAGATGGCTTAAGTTATTGAAAGACTACGATATGCAGATTCAATATCATCCAGGTAAAGCTAACACCGCAGCCGACGCTTTGAGCAGAAAGGTGGTTGGAAATTTGGCATGTCTAACCACGATCTCAATGGAGCCGACTATTGTTGAGGAAGTAAAGACAAGGCAAATGGAGGATGAATTCTTCAAGAAGGTAGCCGATGAGATTGTCACAAAGCCAAGACCAGGGTACACCATAGAAAATCAAGTGCTCAAGTTTGAAGGAAGATTGTGTGTGGCCGACATCCCAGCGTTGAAAAGGAAAATTTTACAGGAAGCTCATGGTTCCAAGTTTGCTGTTCACACAGAGAACACCAAGATGTATCAGGATGTGAAGCAGACGTTTTAGTGGCCGAATATGAAAGGAGAAATAGCCGAATTCGTGTCGCAGTGCTTGTATTGTCAACAAGTGAAAGCAGAACATCAAAGGCCAGCAAGACTTCTTCAACCTTTACCGATTCCTAAGTGGAAATGGGAGCACATCTCCATGGACTTTGTGGTTGGTTTGCCGAAGACACAAAGGGGTATGGATTCGATTTGGGTTATTGTGGATAGACTAACTAAGTCAGCACACTTCTTGCCTGTTAAGACCACCTTCAACGCCGATAAACTTGCTTTGTTGTATGTGAATGAGATTGTTAGACTTCATGGAGTGCCGATGTCAATTGTGTCAGACCGAGATCCGAAGTTGGTTTCCAAATTTTGGCAAAGCCTACAAAGAGCTTTCAGAGCCGAGTTGAGGTTTAGCACAACTTTTCATCCCCAGACTGATGGGCAAACAGAGAGGACGATTCAGACACTTGAAGATATGCTTAAACTATGTGTATTGGACCTCCAAGGAAGTTGGGGAGTACATTTGCCTTTGGTGGAATTTACCTACAACAACAGTTATCAAGCTAGCATTGGCATGGCGCCGTATGAAGCACTGTATGGAAGAAAGTGCAGGTCGCCGATATGTTGGACCGAGGTAGAAGACAAAGCTCTGCTTGGTCCCGAGTTAATTCAAGTAACAACCGAGAAGATTAAGCTCGTTCAGCAAAGAATCAAAACTGCACAGAGTCGACGAAGAGTTATGCCGACCAGAGAAGAAGAGAGTTGGAATTTGAAGTCGGGAACCATGTGTTCCTAAAGATTTCGCCGATGAAAAGAGTTACAATATTTGGGAAGAATGGTAAGTTAGCACCCCGTTACATCGGGCCTTTTGAAATTCTTGAGAAGGTTAACCTCGTTACCTACAGACTTGCTTTGCCGCCAGGGTTGAGCCAAGTCCATAACATATTTCATGTTTCAATGTTGAGGAAGTATATTTGAGATCCGCTACATGTGATCGACTATTTCGGAATTGTAATTAATGAAGATTTGGGCTACAAGGAGAAGCCGATACGGATTGTCGATAGGCAGGTGAAACAGTTGAGAAGTAAGTCGATACCAATGGTGAAAGTTGAATGGAAGGAGCATTACGGTGAGGATGCTACATGGGAAATGGAAGAGGAAATGAAAGTCGGACATCCAGAATTGTTTTTGGAACAAGGTAACTCAAGTTTGGGGACCAAACTTCTTTAAGGGGGGTAGGATGTAACAACCCTCATTTCAACTTAGTCATACTTGCATACAATTATGAATGATCTTGTTTTGGTATGTGCATTTGCAAATCTTGTCTTGTTTTGCTCAATGTTGCTTGCATGCTTTGTTCTTGCCTGATGTGTCGCCGAGGTCATCCTAAGCCTAGACACCTTCTTTCTACTTAGAACTGTCATGGAATCCCTTCGGTTGACCTCTATCTCCACCCTGGCATATTGGCCGAGATGTCACCATCTAGGTCGAGGCGCGCGTCGCCTAGGCCGAGATGTGCATCATCTAGGCCGAGATGTTAATATCTAGGCGTTCTAGATCCTTGACCCTTGTACCAGCGATTTGTTCCTGGGATGGTATGACCTAGACCAAGGTGTGGCACATCTAGGCCAAGGTGTGGCACAGCTTAGTCAAGTGTTGTCCTTCCAAGCCGATGTCCTTGCCACTTGCTTGCCAGAGTCTTGTTGTTGGCCGATGTTGTTACTTGCCGGAGTGCTCTTGTTGTTTAGCTTGTTGAATACACTTTGTCTTGGTCTTGTCTAGTCAGTCAGTCACCTTTTTGAGTGGAGCCAACCAACCGGTGCCATGTGTCCCGGCAGAGGGATTAGGTCAGTGATTGTCGTGAGAAACATATCATTTGTATCAAATCTTGCCTTCTAGAGAGAGAAACTCTAGGAAGGAGAAGGAGAAGTTTGAGCAAGAGAGAGTGAACTTCCAAGCTTGATCGTTGGAGCTTGAACCGTTAGATTCGAGTTTTGAGGTTAGAATCTTAACCTACTCCTGTTGTTCTTATTGATCATCTAGCTGCATTGCACAATCAAACCTGTTCGGCATGTCATGCATTGATTTAAAGTCGGTTTTAGAAAGAGTAAATGGTTTTTATGTGTTCTTGAAGGAAAGCCTCGTTTGATTCGAAAGTTTGCATTAAGGCTCATGTTTTTGTGTTTGTTTTGATAAGATCCTTGAGTGTGGATACCCAGGTCCATGCTTTTGAATTCATAACATGAAATCTCAGCTTTCGTAATAGCAAGTTTTAATCTTTACATTCATCGTCCTCATGTTCATGTTCTTCATGTCCTTCATGCTCATGTTCTCCATGTTATCAAGAGGAAACCCAGGTTTTCCCGACTTCGCTTTTGAATGTGGCCGTCGGGGCCCCACCTCGGCAAGGAGGTATGGAACCTCGGCCTAGACCTGGTAGTTGCCCAGCATGTCTTCCAAAAATAAGAAACGGTGTTTTGATTTGATTTGACTTAATTTTTGAAGAATGCCGAGGTCATTTGCATGCATACTAGACTTGTTTTGAGTAATGCCTTCAATAGACTTTGCCATGTGTTTGGAGGACTTGGACTTGCCTTGACCCCGACGTTTGAAGAACCATGTGAGTGGTATTTTTAATAAAGCTATGTTATCAATGTTTTGATGAGCTTTGCTTTGCTTTGTTTGGAAAAGTATTTGTCAAGCATGAATGATTGTCCTTAGTTTTGTATCTTGTATTATACTTGCTTTGATGACCTCCTCGGAAAGTCCCCTGTGCTGGAGGACTCTAAACTTTCACAGCACATCTTGTTTGGAAGTCCCTTGTGCTGGAGGACTTTAAACTTTCGCAGCACATCTTGTTTTGAAAGTCCCTTGTGCTGGAGGACTCTAAACTTTCGCAGTACTCTCGTGTTAAAGGGCTACGGGCCTTTGTAACATTGGTCCCTTGTGCTAAAAGACTCTAAACTTTGGTAGCACCCTTGTTCGAGATATCTCCCTTGCCTTGTTTTGTTTTGGCCACTGACGGTTTACCGTGTGGATATGTTTGCCGGAATGTTATCATTTGTAAAATGTTGATTCTAGTAAGCATCCCTTGAAGCTTTGAAGATTTGTTAGATGGACGAGGTCCATCCCTTGTTAAATAAAATTTTGACTTGTATTGTTTTGAAAGGACTTTGGCTATTATTCATGCAAACCCTTCATTACTTATATCATTCACTGAGTATCCAAGCCCACCCTCTCTATATATATGTAGGTGATGAGCAAGAGGGCGGTGACGCCTAGATGTAATTCAGGAGCTTGTTTTGGGATTTTGTTATGTCGGCTTGACTTGTATTCATCTCGGCAGTCTTGAAAATTATGCTTCTCGATTTGTAATACCTGTATGTTGCATACGTCGGCTTGAGAAGCCTTTTGATCAAGATGTGTGTTTTGTATGTTTGTTATGTCGGCAACGAGGATGTCGGCAACCTGGCAGACTGTGTTCCTTGACCAGTAGTTCGTACGTTTTGTTTGTGTCGGCTTGTGAAGCCCTTTGTTAATATGTAAGATGTAATTTGTACTTTGCTTCGTTTGTAATTAAGTTGTAACCCATATGAAGATGGTTGCTATTTCATTTGACTTATGCACAGCTCTTATGGACTAATCTGATTGTATGTATTGCTTCCGTACTTGTGAGCCCCATATATTTATTCTCCGTTGTGTGTGAATTTTGAAAGTTAGCCTTCGGTAATCTCGGATTACTGGCCATCATGGCACCCAACTTCTAGGGGCGGTTTGGGGTCGTGACAATGAAGAAAAATTGTAATCAATAAAAACAGTAAATGTCCTGAGACCCAAATATTAAAATGAGTCTAGGATTAAATGTTGTAATAGATAAATATACCTTCATTTGCATCTCGAACCATTTGATAACTGGCAAATCCTGAAAAAAGAGTAAGCTGCAATCACAAACTACCAACCCATTAAGATGCTATTACTTTAGAACAAACCAAAGCCCTCCACTCTCTTAAATGAGGAAGAAATTGTGTGTTGTGTGTTTGGGGGGGTAATCAATTAGCATTTTATGAAAACACTTGACAAAAGTTAAGATTTCAGATTTTCAAGTTTTATCTTTGACCAAAATATTTATCAAGAGGCTGCTAATTTGCATCTCAGCCAGCCATGCCTAATGCTAAACCAACAAGAGGAGAGTGCAATCCAGACAAAAAAGGTTATACCCAGTGCACAAGGCTCACACTTACAGCAGGGCCTTGGAATGGAGCATGGTGTCCAAGTTCCTCAAGTAGTACCACAACCTCAATATAGAATCTATAGATTTAGTGTATAGGGTTGGGTCTTCTTTTTATTTATTTGCTTACAATATATATATATATATATATATACATTGCAATAGCCCTAGCTTTTTCAGCATCAGTTATAAACCTGCCTCAACTAGGTCACAAATTTCTACTCTTTAAAATAGATGGAACTACAGAAGTTAATTTAATACCTGATATTTTTAGAATTTCCCACAAGCAATACATTGTTTGCGATGATTGAGGCTCTGTGAACTGCTGCTTTAGTATGAATAGCTGAAATTTCATTTCTTGCCATTCACAATTCCTCAAATAGTGTTTCTAACTTGACTGGTACATCTTCAGCTTTCACCTTTGCAGAATGAATTTTAATAATGAAAACATTGGAAACAATCAAGTGTTCTTTATTTAGCAAAAAGATTATAGAAGAAAACATACTTTGAGAGTGGAGTAGAGCTGTTTCATGTAGTTATCTCTAGCATTCGATAAAAGCATCACCAGCAACGGCTTCTATACGTCTGATTCCAGACGCAATCACCTGTTCTGAGATTATTTTCAAGCCACGTATTTCAGAAGTACTGCTGACATGAGTGCCACCACATAGTTCCATTGTTACACCTGGAACCTCTATAACACATAACTAAAATAATCACAGTATTTGAAAGAAAAATCAAATCCTATGTAAAAGTATGTTCCATAAGTTACAGCATTTATGTGTTGTGAAATGAGTGTATATTTTAACACCATTTTCTGTCAGAACTCAGAAGTACAAAAAAAGATTTTATAGAAACTTGAACCTGTTCTCCATATTTTTCTTCGAACATTGCAATAGCCCCAGCTTTTTTAGCATCAGTTAGAGGCATCACTTTAGTTTGCAAAAGTGTAGAGTCCTCAATCCAGCTATTGATCAGTTCTTCAATCTCCATGAGCTCATTATCCAAAAGTGGCCAGTGGAAGTTGAAATCAAATCTAAGACGATCAAAAGCCACCAATGAACCAGCTTGTGATGTTTCCTGGCCTATTACTTTTTTAAGTACAGCTTGTAGCAGATGAGTAGCAGTGTGATGAACCTGCCAAAGAGCAAACAAGGTTCACAAAAAGTCTAATAGAGTTTCGAGATAGAAAAATAAACTAACAAACACTACTGTAGAAGTTCGCATCATTAAATATGCAGACAAGTGTAGACAAGTTAATTATACGGTAAATGTGGTAAATTGTATTATTTAAGCCAGTACCTTAGCTCGTTGCCTCAGCTTTGCATCTACCGTAGCTTCCACTTCACCGCCAACCTCTATACTTCCCTCCTTGATAGTACCCTTATGAACAAATATATTACTGACGGATTTTTTGATGTCTTTTATCTCTATAACAGCAGTCTATTGGTTTCCAGCTTCTGAAATAAATAGAAAACCATTATCTCCAATTTGACCACCTGATTCGGCATAAAATGGTGTCCTATTGAGAAAAACTTCCACTTCGCTGCCTTCGGAAACCTATAGCACCGGTTTCCCATTCACCAAGAGAGCCTCAACTACTGCTCTGGTGGAAAGTGTGTCATAAGCTAGAAATTCTGTGTCACAAATATTTTCAGCTAGATCTAAAAAAAACCTTTATATAACAAATAATAAAAACTAAACTGAACACATCATAACAATTAGTAATGTAACCAAATTAATATCAAATGCATTTCAATATCCCAAATTTTATTCAAATATCCAACAATACTAAACATAAGAATCCAAAAATGAGTCTAACTATATCCAACAATCACAAACATAATAATTCCAAAAAGTATATAAACATTCAACAAAATAACCTATAAAACGAAACAAAGAAAAATTAAATGAATGCCAACGTGCAAAACGATATCTATCACTACTGAACCACGAACATCCATCACCAACCTGTGAACAAAAGGATGAAAACATGAGTATTTTATTAATGCATTAACTTCAACAATAATATACAAATATAGTTAAAATTAATCAGAAAATTGTTGTCAAGCTATTGTTTTATCAAGCTATTGTATACAAAGGTTGTAATGCTAGGATTGTAATACAAAGTTTATATAATTTTATATTGTTGACACATGTTAGGATTGGTTAAATAAAGTAAATCAATTTAATGAAGTGTCAAATTTATCTCTATTTCAACCGAGAGAAGTTTCATCCTCCCTTACACCCGATGCATCCTCCCCGACATTGTTGCTTGGAACTAATCCCGGAATGTTTGCTAGATCTATCCCATTTTTTGCTGCCAACATTTGAATTATAGTTTGCATTGTACTCATGTTTTGAGCCTGGTCAAGTAACTGCTTTCCTTGGAGAGCTAATTGTTGTCGCTGGTCAACTAACTGTTGTTGAAGAACAATCACCTCGGAGTTAAGAGCCTCAAAATGTGTAGAAGATGAAGTACTGTCCTTGCGGATCCCGTATCCCTTCAAGTAGACCGATCTCTTCCCAAGTACTTCCCTGGAAATCTGCTCCTCAGACAATGGATGTGTGACACTAGGTTGAGATTGCTCAGCGATCTTTGAAACCATAGTGGCCTATGAATGAAACATAAATAAGCTTAAAACATAATATCAAAATGCAAACATTTATTATTGAAATTGAAATAGTTATGGTTACATGATGTTCCTCAGCTGTGTTATTTATCCACACTCCCCCATGTCGGTGACGTTTGTGGGTGTCCTCGAATAGTTTCGTAATAGTCGGTTTGCTTCCTTGTACCTTTCATTTCATTAGATTTTATAGTCAACCAATAATTTTGTATTTATAATTTAGTATGTTCAAATTTGTAAATCTACACTTACAAGGATAGATGCTCGCGATGCAAACGATCTCGAGCCGCTCGTATGATTATACTTCACACAACCTCTTGCTTTCATCGCATTCTCTGACTTTTCCTACAAATAAAAACAAAAATAGGTAACATTAATTAATATACAAGAGGATGTTACTTTAGTAAATATTTTTATAAATACCTTTCAATCATCAGTTTTCCACAGATTGTCAATCATCCATTCCCAATCATCCTTTGCACAAGGATATAGTATCTGACTTTTGAGGTCAGATACTTTGTCTTCTTTAAGGGATTTGTAGTGTATGTGTAATCTACTTTTCCATTCATTGTACAAAGTTTGGCACTTATGATCAATAATACATCTCACATCCACATCATTATTGTAGTCCCCAAAGTCAAAAGTTTGCTGCAATTAGAAACAATAAAATTCAATATATTTTATATATCATTGCGATTAACATAAATAACATGTTAAATATATAACACATATATTTCAAATTACCCCAACTCTTGTAACAATGGACTCTCTTAACCCAAAGGCAATTTCTAGCCATCCATCATTTCGGATTGGAGCATGAACTCGAATTTGTTGACCAAGAGCAGCTGCTAGCGATGTGGCGTAATCCCCTTCTATTGCTTTGGTCAAACGATTAAGTGTAACAGGTATTTGATCACCACGTTCCTTTCTAATCTTCTCCACATTCTTTCCTCGGGCTGGTCCTTATACACGTTTCTTGCCCAAAACTAGAATTGATGCTATTATAACCAAAATTTTATTCAATTTAGTCGACATAAAACATGAATGCACTAAATAAATATTGAGATAAGAAATTATCATTTTATTTAAGGGGTCATTTATTTCTCACCTCTACTGTTAGTCACAGTACATGGACTTGAAAGGTGGTCAGGTTGAGGGGCGAAGCTAGGGAGCTGATCGGGCCTAGTATATAAGGCGGGAAGATGGATAGGTTGGGTCGAGACCTCAAGTGTGCTCTCTGAATGATTGACTTGTGCAGCTACAGGTCGTCTCAGAAGAGTAAGTGTATCTTCATGAAGAGTACTTTTCTTTTCCCTTGGTGTTTGTGAAGCTATTAGGCGAACTGCACACCTATTTGTTTTCTTACTGGGACCCATATGAATATCCTGACATAATATAAAAATGAATTGTTAGTACATTTTCAACAATTTAAGGTTGCTTAATAAAAAATAAATTTGAAATAACTAGACATACCACAAGTAATATAACAAGTGAAAAAACTAGAGAAATTAATTTTCATACACACATGTATTACCTCAATCACTTGAGAATCAAAAGGCTCGCCATTATCACTTGAAGAACTCGGTCCTTTATCATCACCAAGTGGTTGATAGTCCTCGTCATTATCAGTTTCACCCACCTTTCTCTTTCCCACTCTATCTTTCAGTTTTGTCCTTCTCAATAGAACCAAACATTGAATTCCTGAGGGACTTTATCCCTAGAGCATCAAATCTGATTTTATTTTTTTGGATTGTTTTTTTCCTATCCTTCTCATATTTCGTCATCTTCTGGACCAAGCTGTCGGGCTTCATAAATGATTTACTGCTTCTGGACATCTTTATAACTGTAGATATGGCATATAATTAAATGAAATGAAATAAGAAACAATGCTATGAAATTTGGAAAACAATGCCATGCAATGTAAACCAAGCAATTTATTATTAAATTATAACACTTGTCCATATAATAAAAAATCAAACACTACATATCACAATCTATATCAAGATCTATATCAACATCAGGTTGTCTATGCAGTTCATCATCTTCATCATCATTATACTCTATGATTCTGTCATCCTCATCATCATTGTGAACTAAATTCTCTACCATTAGTTAATCATTGAACATGATCTCAGGATCCATATCATCCGTGCTGTATTGAACATCATTATCTTGGATCACTACCCCAACACCATTAGTGGTTTCATCCTGTTGAAAAGCATCATTAGAGACATCATCCTGCTCTGGTATATCCTATACTCCCCGATGCTTAACACATTCAACGACTCTCCAATTTTTGCCTTTGTTGGTATCATTGACGTAGAATACTTGTCTTACCTAACTAGGTAGAACAAATTGGTCTTCTTTATACCAAAGTCTTGTAACATCAATACTTGTGACATGTTCATCGGAGTATATTCTATTCTTGTGACCGGTGTCATACCATTCACATTGGAACAAAACTACTATACCCCCATGCAAGTATTTAAATTCCCATATTTTGCACAAGTAGCCGTAAAAATTAATTTGGTTCCCATTATGGTCCCCTTCTACAACCAACCCACTATTTTGGCAAGTACGACTATTTTCACGGTTTCTAGCATGGAATCAAATTCCATTGTAGATGCACCCAGAATAAAAAGTCAATTACCGATCCAGGACCATTTGCTAATGACTACAATTCGTCAATTGCTTCAGGTGACCCTTTCGTTCCCAAATCATTCATTTACATAAAACACCATATAACAAGTGTACTAAGTTAATGTGAATTGAAAGTTACAACAATTGTATTCAGTTATTTTCTTTAGTATATCTTATACGATTTTTGAACCATTTTGGAAATTCTTCTCGTTGTACCCGAGTTATGTCACGTCCTTGTAGATTATGTAAAATATTCTTCTGCTCCCTACGCAAGGAAATGTGATACACATAATTAACTTAGAGAGTTCGAAACAAAATGGAACGATTATACATAAACGTAATTAAATTTAAATACATACTCAATATATGGCTCCACCTTAGAGCTATTGTACAACACAAACCAGTGAGCCAATTCTCGTTCATTTTGCGAAGGGTCAAAAGCTCTTGTGATAGGTGAGAATAAACAAGCATTTTGGGTGAAGACCTCCATCCCGGGACCACGTTCACCACCATCATCATTTTGTTCAGGTTTATCAATCCCTTTTAAGTACATTGAACAAAAAGTAAGACACTCTTTGACAATGTAAGCCTCAGCGATAGAACCTTCTGGACGTGCTCTATTACTGACATACCCTTTCAATGTCCCAAGAAACCTTCAACAAAAATTCACAATGAAAATTATGCTTCTTGATGCAAGAAAATTACTTCTTTAACAATAGTCTTTTATGGGTGAATTTTTGCATAATATTTCAATTATAACAAATTAATAAATAACCATATGTTCATAATGATTACCTTTCGATCGAGTACATCCATCAATATTGCACTGGTCCAGCAAACGTGGCCTCACGGGGCAAGTGAATAGCCAAATGGACCATCACATCAAAGAAAGCTGGAGGAAAATTTTTCTCTAACTTGCAAAGTATGAACACAATTCGTTCCTCCATTTTTTCCAAATCAGTCTACCTTAATGTTTTTTAGCACAGTTCTTGGAAGAAGTTGCCTAACTCAAATAGTGTTGTACAGATCTCCTTATTCACAAAACCACGGATGCCAATTGGTAGAAGTCGTTGAAGTAGGACATGACAATCAAGGCTTTTCATGCCCGATAATCTTCCATTTTTAGAAGTCACACATCTTGAGATGTTTGCTACATAGCCATCTGGATAACTAATAGACTTCAGGAATTCACAAAAACCATCTATTTGTCGAGAATCCAATATGTAGGCTGCTCGAGGCTTTACAACGGATCCGTTATCTTTCCTATGTAAATGCAATTCTTGCCTTATGCCCATTTCTTGCAAATCATCATGTGCTTTGTACGTGTCTTTGTTTTTCCCATCTATCGCCAACATCGTCCCATAAAAGTTTTCACAAATATTCTTCTCAATGTGCATGACATCAAGATTGTGTCGAAGGTTTAATTTCTTCCAATACGGTAGCTCCCATATTATGCTTTTCTTTGTCCAATTCAATTCTTTAAACTCTCGTGGTCTTGTCGTGTTGGTGGGATCTTTTCCAAACTTGACTTCCTGCAGTTGATCCAATTGAGCCATTACTTTTTCCACCAGTAAATCCAAGGATTTTTTCCTAAGCTAAGTTAAACCATCAAACTTCTTGTCCTTCCTCCAACGGTGGTTATCAGGCAAGTATGCTCGATGACCCACCCACCCGATCTTACTGATCAACCCACGTGATAACGGATTATCATCACAAGGAGGGCAA